AATCAGACGTCGCTTCTCTTCGGCGTTTTACGTTTTACTTGGATTGGGGGGCAAGCCCTGTATTCGCCTCGCTTTCCCGTTGGGTGCTTACGGTTCACTGCTCAGTCCCCAGCGCCCACAAGGGCCCGGGCCCCGGGGACAGTCGGTAAATAACTGGCCGAATGATCGGTGGTTACACCATCGCTCGTCTGCGCGATGCAGCATCCGAGTCCGCTCAGCGAGCCGCGTCTTCAGGAGGGTCACCTCCCGGCGCTTCCCGCTCTCCGGGCATTCGTCTGGACAGAAGCTTCGCTCACTGCCCACGACTGGCCTCTGTGCCGTCACTTCCCTGGGATATCGGCCCACACCGCGGCCGTCACCTGTGCTGTGCGGGGGAAACGAGGACCGCGGCCGGGGGGCCATCAGCCCTTTGAACTGTGGCTTGACCCCTGGGCCACCGTCTTCCCTTCTGCCTTTCAACTTGTCACCAAGGCCCCTGACTGTGGCCCCCCGGGTGGCGTGGCCACATCTGCGGTTGTCTGTGGCTGCCCTCCAGTCAGAGGACAGCCCGCAGGACACCCTGGCAGCCGCTCCCTGAAATACTGTCCACCGAGGACAGAAACGCTCCCATCAGCGAGCTTGCTCTAGCCAACGCATTTGCTTTGCTCCCATTTTAAATCCTGACAGAGCCGACTCTCCACAAACTCTGACTTTTGTGTCTAATTTATTTTTGAAGTTTGACTTCAAATTCCCAGTTTGAAAAGGGAGTCTGTCTGGATGACCTCAACTGTTCCCCAGGTGACCGGGCAGTGGGGTCCAGCGGAGCCTGCCCGGCAGCTTTGTTCTCAAGCCCGTGTGCGCGGCGGGCTTCGTGACACACCATAGGAAGGACTGCGGCCTCGGCCTGCCCTGGCCTCCGCCCCAGCCTCTCAGCTGCCCCTGCAAATCGAACACCCCCGCGTCCTGCTCCCCAACTGGCTTGTGCACTTTCTGTGTCCAGGTTAAAAGTGGCCTCGTCCTTGGGCCTTCGGCAAGAAAGCATCTATTTTTTAACCAGAGAGCGCAGGATCCCGGCCCCACCTCCACCTGGGGCATTTCAAAGCTTGCCCTGGGGTCCCCTGCCCTCGCTTTGGGAGTAGGGCGCTGCTGCCAGTGCTGCTGTGGGCCAGGGCGGCCGCCTTCCCCGGGTAGGGCAGCCACCCCGTCCAGCCCGCCCCGGCCCAGGGATGACAACCAGCCTCTCTGGAAGTTTGGCTCCCTGCCCATTCGATCAACTCTCAGTTCCATTCCCGTCACCCCTCCACGCCTAATTTTTCTATCTGTACAAAAAGGATGTTAAACGATTATCCACGTGGCCCTTTCACGCCCACAGTGACCTCAGTGCTGGCTCCTCGTCTCCCTGGCCGCCTCTGTGGGGCCCTGCATAGGGGGTGCAGGAGCTCCCTTTTAAAGGGTCTATTATCAACTTTTAAAAGCCAGAAACAGTGATATGGAAGCTGAAAAATTCCCCTGCAGTGGCACAGAGCTGAGGTTTGAACCTGGGCAACTGGACCTCAGAAGCCAGGCTCTTCAGTGGCCTTTTGACAGCTTAGTGGAAGGGCGGGCAAGCCCCCACAGATGGGATGAAGCGGAAGTCCACTTGGGCAGGCCATCCGGAACAGACGAGCCAGGGGAACCACAGGTGGTCACTGACTTGTCCAGGAGGAAGGGCTCTCACCGGCCCTCTGCAGAACTTTGTGGAAACACAGCCTCCAAACGTGAGTGCTCACCTGTGCGAAGGCGGGTCCTCCCTACCCAGCACAGGTCACAGGGATGGCACCTCGGGGTCAGTAGGGTCCTGTGTCCCCTGAGGGATTGCAACGCTGGCTGGGCCCCTCGCCCACTTCGCTGGGCACAGTCTTCCTTGAAATCTGGCTGCTGCCAGCTGCGGAGCGGGCAGGAGTTCACGGCCAGGTCGTGGGCCCGCTGTCCAGTCCTCCCTCCCGGCTGCTGGCTCGGCCGCCAACAGTGAGGCTCGGCAGCAGCCATTGTTCAAGGCCCATTTTCCCCAGATATGGGGCCTGGCTCTGCTGCCTCTGTGCTCCCCAAACGGGAGACCGTGGAAGCCAGCAAAATGAAGGGGAGGCAGGCAAGCTGTGCTTGGAGAGAAGGTGGGGACCCGGCTCCTTGGTTTTCTAGGAAGCGGCATCTTGAGACCTGTGACTGGGGACTGGACCAGGGGCTGTGACGTGGGGGAGGCCGGGAATCGGGCACCCAGACGGGAGGGGTCCGAGTTTGAGGACGTACGCGCCCCAGGGCCTGGCATGCGCCACCCATCTCGTCCCCAGAGCTCACGCAAACGCACTTCCCTCTGCAGCTCGCGGGCCCCGGCTGTGCAGCCCTCCAGCCTTCTCGGATCCCCGAAGTCACGAGAACGCCTCTGCACACGGGCAGGTGTCTGTGCTTTACACGAACCATGTTTCCATGGTAAGTAGATTTTAAGAATTCCCAAAGGACAGACAGTGTCACCAACAGCAGAGAGTGGAGCCTCTGGCTGCCTCATGTTTGAAAGCGTTAAAAATAAAGACAACATTGACATTTGGGGTTGTAATGTGACGGAATTACAGTCTTTTAAAGGCAAGAACCACTTATCTACACTACATGTAATATTCAGTGTTTTGTTCACTTGTCTAATTGGATTAAAATATTTAGCTCCCTTTAAAATCTTGATTGTGAATTTATATTGCAAAATGTAATGTCTGACTCGGGAAGCAATAAGTGGAGCGAATGGATCTGAAGCGGTATAAAATTCAGCTTCTTTTTCTTCCATGGGACTTCCTCTGAAATTATTCACTCTTGGACAAAGGGAACTGTTAACGGAAGAGCAAGTTGGGCTGAAATGAAGCAGTACGTGTTTTTCAATAATAATTACGCGCAGGCCTTTAAAAAACAAAGTTAAGCGACACTGTGCGTTGCTGGAGGAAGCTGCTCTGATGGCCTAACACCCTCACGCTGGAAATACAGCACCAGAGGTCTTGTGTCACCCTTTAAAAACACCCAGGGAACATGGAGTTAATGACATTTTAGCTGCATATGTTCAAGTTTATTTAAAAAAATATGCAAGTCACTTTGGTTGACAGTGTCTTGTACACAGTTTTGAAAGAATCAGGGCAAACTTTAACAGAGTCAGTTTTTATTTGAAAAATATTTTCTGGGAATGTATCAGTGTTTATTTTTGAGACTGACAATTCGGGTGAAAATCAGGATAAAAACAAAAAAACAACAATTTGGTTGAAATCAAATTGTTTGTTTTCATCTATTTAGAATTCTTTCCAAAAAATCTTGGTTCAGGAGG